AGATGACGAATCAACAGCTGGAATTATAGTTTATCTTGTAAATAGTGATTATCCATGTGAAAGATAAACATTATTCATTAGCTAGAATATTTGCTAGAAAKTAGCAAYAGTTAGTTATCTTAGCATTAGCTAATTAGTATAAATAGACGACTAGGTCTATTGTAAAAGCGCGCATACTTGAGAGGTTTTTACTTTGTATTTTACGTTTTAAAGTAAAACCTTTGAAGCTCAAACTGTTCTTGAATATTCATAGTTTACTTTTGAGTCTTCTTAACTTTCTTCGTAAAATCACTATAATTTGGTTATTCATAACTAGATTATAAGTGTTATTGAGAGATCTGGGATCAACAACATGCGCAAGGAATGCGACATACTCCTTCCTCAAGTACTTTTGCATTTTTATGCCAGACACTAACTTAATTTTTCGATCCGACTTGTCTTCTTGAATCTCTATTGGGTCATTTCCATCCTGAGGAATCCGGATAACCTTCTCTGAGTAGACAATTTCAGCTTGATTTTCGGATAGCCAATCCATGCCTACAACTATGTCGAAGCTTCCTAACTCGAAAGGAATAAGGTCTATGCTAAAATCCTTATTGGCTAAACTTATTGTACAATCCTTGATTATATTTCTAGCCTTAAATTCTTGGCCATTGGCAAACTCAACTACATAAGCTTCTTTCAGCCTCTGGGATTTTAGGTTAATCTTCTGCTTAAAGTCCAGGGATACAAAACTTCTATCCGCTCCTGAATCAAATAGAACTGACGCAAATTCATGATTCAAAAGGAACGTACCTGAGACTAGATTGGGATCATTTCTAGCTTCTCTGGCCCCGATTTCAAACGCTCTGCCCCGTGTCTGACTGTCTGGGTTTCCTTGACTGATCGTTCGAGCTTGGCCTGCATTGGTTCCTTGTTTACTTTTTGGACAAACGTTTCTCATATGATCTGGACTTCCACAATCAAAGCACAATCGCTTCCGACAATCCTTAGCTGTATGATCCCCGAGATGGCACCTTTGACAAATGATGCAGTTTCCCCAGTGCAGGTATTTACTTCTATTACACTTGGCTTTGTCTCTTTGATTCACCGTCTGAGTATGTGCCCCGAAATTTCCTACCGTTCTCTTACTCCTATCATATTTTCCCCCAAGTCTTCGATTTCCATACCCCTCCATCTTTCTTTTCCCTTTGGCGAATTCTCCTGAACGAACCGCGTTATTCGTGAGTTTGGTGGTAATATCAATGGCTTCTTGAAGAGTCTTTGGATTTCCGGGGTAATGTTTCCTCTAATCTCTGGGGATAATCCCCAAATATACCTTTCAACGCGGACTTCCTCTGGCGTCACTAGGTGTGGCACTAGATTTGCCAACTCATGAAATCGAGCTGTATAGGCAGCTATATCTTCTCCTTTCATTTTGTGATTCCATAACTCCATTTCTAGCTTCTGGAGTTCGCTTCTAGGGCAGTATTCAGTTTCTTGAACTCCTCCCACGGAAGTTGATTAGCCACTTCTCAACCTCTGGCCTGTACCAATGCATTCCACCAAGTGAGTGCCCTTCCTTGCAACAAACATGCCGCATATTCCACTTTGTTTGTTTCAAGACACTTGCTAATATGGAGGACGGATTCCATACTCTATATCCATTTCAGTAATCCTACAGCCCCTTCAGTTCCATGGAATTCTTTTGGATTACAGGATCTGAAGGACTTATAAGTGAATTCTCTGGGTGGTCTAGGTTCAGAATTCGATGATTGATTCGCATTAAGCCCTGCCGCTACTTGACTGACGAGGTTGGGTAGTGCGGCCAATAATTGCTCTGACACAAGTCGTGCAACTTCGGGGTTTTCTCTTCTTGGTGGCATTTTCTATGGCCTAAATCAGAAGAGAGTTCATCGTTAATATAACAATACCAGAATAATTTCTTCCAGTCATTTAATTGATGTAAGGGGCATTCATCACATGGAGAGATATTCAAACTTTTACGTAACCACATGGCTTAAATTTATACACATTAAGGCTGGCAATAAATGAACATTTCTCAAAAACACGCCATGTATTCGTAGACGATTACAACCACGAAAACAAAACCTCACATGACTAAGCAAAAGAGTGGGTATTCTACCCCTAATTTCCATCCTAGAATAACATCCATCCTAYYRCTATTCCCAACATCAACATCATCATTCCACAAACTACCAACCATCTATACAACTTCCTAATTTCCCGCTTGGCTGCGACAGCAGCTTCCCTGTTCCTTATTATGCTCTCGTGGTGTGCTTCCATCACATCAGACAGGTTGTTAAGGATGTGGTGATGGTATCCCAGCCGGGTCTGGTGTATTTCCGTATCTGATGTAATTCTCTGCATCCATTCTCGTTCAGTCATGTTCATACCCTGGGCATAAGATGCATGTACCCCAGTCACTATTTCGGACAGCATGTGCCCTTGTGGTGGTCGTGATGGCTCTCCTCTTACTCTAGAGGAATTCTCAAACATCACACGTCGAGGCAGGGGAACGCTCTTCCTTGGCGTAACTCTGATCCGTGAACCATGATAGGTTTGTGGTGGAACGTAAGGTGCTGGCTCTGATGGGGGTAAGAAAGACGCTGGTGGAGAGGCAGATGCTCCAGTGATTGCAGTGCCCTGCTTATATGCATCTATCTCTTCATCGTGGGCTAAGTTCCTTCTAGAATGGCCAACCACGTAACTAGATTCATCGACTGAGTATTCTCTAGAATCGGATGATGCCATAGTGATCTGCGACATTAATAATCTTAATTACTAAATGCATCATCTAAAAGTGCTTAGAGATATAGCCAAAACTTCTAAACAAGGCTAAGAGTGGAAATCAAACTAAACTCTCAAAATATAAAGCCTCTGGTCATGCTATTAGAGCTTCTGGTTTCATGACCAGAGCTTCTGGTCTTGTGACCAGAGCTTCTGGTCTTGTGATCAGAGCTTCTAGTTCAACTAAAATCCTTAGGAAAGGATTTCTTATCCATCGGTCCTTTTGCACACCAATGGAATTCTATTTTATCTTCTGCTGGTTTAACATCCATACTTAAAATAATTATGGAACTTTCGTCCATCGATCCTCGAGTTCCTCATAATGCACTTACCAGAGCTTCTGGTTACAAAACCGGAGCCTCTGGTTCCATTTTCATACCTAGAAAAATACTAAGCAACCTATGCATCGGTCTCTGTTTTCCTTCCCAACAATGCTTCTGGTACCACATACACTATAACTTTATGGGGTTTCTATCCCTTTACCTCTGGTCCTGCATACTAGAGCTTCTGATCTAATTAAACACTTAGAAATTTTATGAAATTTCTATCCCATCGCCTCTAGTCCTTTTAACCAGAGCTTCTGGTCCAACATGGACACTTAACAAAATAAGAGTTTTTCTACCCACGTCTCTGGACTTTCTAGGGCAATGGATATTCATAGCGAGTATAGTGCATAAAATCCTGCTTTTCATAATAATTTCTTTATGGGAGCATATCTCAAGTACAACCGATTAAGTTCTTCTTATTATACGTAAGTTAAACACATGTGACCAGGCTCTGTTTAATCGACATATAATAATGTGACCCGCTTTTAATTCATATGATTCCAAATTCTTGAAAATTCCTTTTTGAAAATCTTTGGTCATAGTCGATGGTTTCTTAAGGAAAACCAACGTTCTCTATAACTGAAGCTCTGATACCAAATCTGTCACACCCCGCTAAAGCAGAAACGCGAGATAACAGGCAAGCGTGTCACAACAACAATTAATAGATAACAACTTTAAGTTTTACACAATAAAACGAGTTTAATATTACAACCGAAATTTTATAAAACTCTTCATTTGCAAAACTTCCGATTCGAACTAAATCAGCTTTGCCACGAGTACGCTCCCAAGTGAAACAAATCTTACTTACCTCCTGAAAAGCATGGAACATAAAATGAGTCAACTACAAAGAGTTGGTGAGCTCACAGGCTTTCACATGCATAAAACATTTTAATGCATAATCCAAATATTTGCAAACTTATGCAATACTTTTGCATTTAATAAATGTAAATCTTCATGATGTAGGAACTTGAGACGCTACTGAGACTTACCTGACCAACTGCCCCATTAATTTACGAACAACCATAAGTAGCCCGTACACTACTTAGGTCCCACAGTTCGATATAGTACTAATCCAGCGGTGGTCCAAATTCCACATGATTAGACCAAGAAAAACATAGGTAGAGTGCACCCCTTTCTGGCTGGGACTGCCAACACAATAGCGGCTATCCACAATACCATGGCTCGAGGACATGCCCGAGTTAACAAGTAGCGTTTACGGACAGGAACTTTATTTGGAAACATACTCTCAAGCACATCAATTTAGCATTTATTCTAGAGTGCAAAAACGATTAATAAATCATAACATAGTAAACCCGACTAAGCAGTTCCTTAGTCCAGAGGTTTTAAACAGAATTTGACTAAGCAGTTCCTTAGTCCAAAGATTTTAAACAATGCTTGACTAAGCAGTTCCTTAGTCCAAAGATTTTAAACAAACCTTGACCAAGTAGTTCCTTAGTCCAAAGATTTAAATAAAAACATGCATAGCTTGCTTATTCTCATGTCTTTCCCCCAAACAAATAGTTAAAGCATTGAAAGTGGGGCCGTGAGGACTCACTGGTTTAGGGATGAATATCCAAGGTGATGACGCCTGTCGCTTTCAACGCCCGCCCTAACCTCCTAAACAGACCAACGATCAAAACTAAGATCACTTATGGGTTCAAGACAATGATAAAGTTAGGTTGCATTCTATGTAATGCCATCGAGTTTTTATAAACTTAAAGTTGAGGTTTATAATTTACTCTAAAAAAATAACCCAAAAATTATATATTAAAAGAGATTGAAATCCTAAACTCAAAAGGTGATTTTTGGACAGATTATAAATTATGTTCCAAGTATTTTTTGGGTTTGACAACGCTCTAAAAAAAATAGGAACCTTCCAAAAGTCCTCTTTATCAAATTTGTCAAATCATTTAAAATCATGAGGTTAGCCGACTAACCCAAATATCAAGAAGATTTAAATAAATTTAAATTCCTCATCATTACACTACAATCCTTGAGTTACACAGCCCCCGAAACAGATTGCACGTTCACCGAGCGGCAACTATTTGGGGTCGAGCTTACCATTTCCCAAAGGAAATCGCCATTTTCAGGATAGCAAAAATAAATTTTTAAATATCCAGGGATGAATCTTTCCCGATTCCATTGAGTTTTCGAAAAAGGTAAGGTAGATTAAAGATGCATGCAAGATTTTTCACTTTAAAACACCGTTTCGCGAGTTAAATCTTCACATGCAATGAGTTTTTCCCTTCTTACTTTGGAGTTTTAAGCATATGGGTCATAGATTATTATCTTCCTAGAAGACGTTTTCATGTCTTGGATGAATAATCTCTCCACTTTATAAATTCAGAAAGTTAACACAAGATCGAAGCAAAGAAGAAGGATGCAACTCAAGACATTTTACAAAAGTAAGATAATTAGCATCATACCTTTTTCTTGAAGTCTTGGAGGATCTTTAAGAATGTGAAAGAAGTTTAAAAGACTTGCATGAAGGTGGAATCCACTGGAGAGCGTTTGGTTTTTAGAGAGAGAGAGGGTTTAGAGAAGTTTTCAAACAGGCGATTCATGCAAATGGAAGTTCTTCATGGATGAGGAGTATTTATATGAGGATTTTAAATGAAGTGAATAGGCTTCGCCAACAAGGCCCAAACCGAATAAACCTTTATTTTCCCTAGACGATAAGCCCATAATAATCTTCACTCAAACTTAAATAAAAAGGCTTTATAGAATCCAAAACTCCATCTTTTGATGAAACAAGTGGACATTTAAATGGAACTTTTGAAATTTAATTTAAGGAAAACTCATAACATCAACTTTATTTATTATTATTTTTTATCTAGAATATTTTCAAAATATTTGGCCTTGCATAAGATAACCTTATCTGATCCCCTACCAAAGCGCGACCTTCCCGACAAAATTTGGGAACTAAAACCAAAAAGGTTCTAATCACTTAAGACTAGATCCTAGAGAAATGTAATTTCTAAATATAGGATCTGCTATGGGGTGCTAACCTGAAGTTCAGAAGTGACAGGATGTCATAATGAATGTGTGATCGGACTTTATTTCTATGATACATAAACCTTTGTGGTACCTGACTCTAAGACCCTTGTCGCAGAACTGGCTTATGTTTAGTAAGTTGTGCTTCAAACCTTCAACATAAGCCACTTTGCTGATGGAGATGTTCCCTTTGATGAGAGTGCCATATCCCTTGATTGTACCCTTGCTGTTGTCTCCAAAATCACAGAGCCTCCAGATTTTTCAAAGAAGAAGGATAACTGACTTTTATCACAAGTCATGTGCCTGGAGCAACCTGAATCCATGTAC